TCCTTTTCCACGCAGATCCGGTACTGGAAGGACGGGGACAAGGAGGAGGCGGCTGACAGAGTGAGGACAGCGGGGCTGGTGACATCGGCTCATGTCACCGGCCTGAACCCCAACACCGACTACCACGTGTCAGTGCGAGCCTACAACCGGGCAGGGACCGGCCCCCCCAGCCCTGCCACCAACGTCACCACCACGAGACCTCGTGAGTGAGCCCTGACCCCTCCACTTTCCACAGGATCCGCCAAAATCACCCAAACTTTGATCTTGGTGCTCTTGTTTGGTGTCCCCCTGAACGCCCCACAGTGGTGACACCTCAGGGGATGGCTGGGACCAGCACAGCCTTCTCCTCCCTCCCTGATTTACCCAATCCCTGTCTGGTTTTGCATCCCTCAGCACCAAAAAGGCCACCTGGGAACATCTCCTGGACTTTTTCCGGCTCCACAGTCAGCATCAAGTGGGACCCCGTGGTGGCCAAGGCAGACGAGTCGGTGGTGACGGGGTACAAGGTACGGCCAGCGAGGCTGGGCTTCTCCTGGAGGTGATCCAAGGAAACCACAGGGAACGGGAGCTCAGCATTCCCTCCTCCCACAGATGCTCTACAGGCAGGATTCCCACTCGGCCCCCACCCTGTACCTGGCCAGCAAGAGCCAGATCGACATCCCCATCCCTGAGGATTTCACTCACGCCTTCGTCCAGATCCGGGTGACCGGGCCCGGCGGGGACGGGACCCCGGCAGAAGTTCACATCCTCCGGAACAGCGGTACCTGTGCTCCTCCAGCCACGCCCACCCCTCTGACCACACCCCTTCAACTGACCACACCCTCCAATGTGCCACTCCAGCCACGCCCACCCCACTGACCACACCCACTCCTCTGACCACACCCTCCAATGTGCCACTCCGGCCACACCCACCCCACTGACCACACCCACTCCTCTGACCACACCCTTCAATGTGCCCCTCCAGCCACACCCACTCCCCTGACCACACCCACTCCTCTGACCACACCCACCAATATGTGCTGACCACACCCATCCATGTGCTCATCTGATCACACCCATTCCTCTGACCACACCCACTTCTCTGACCACACCCACCAATGTGCACTGACCACACTCATCCATGTGATTCCCTGACCACACCCACTCCTCTGGCCACACCCATTTCCTGTGCTCCCTGACCACACCCTCTCCATGCCCAAATTCCCCTTTCCAAGGTTCTCCAAGGCCCCGGAGCTCCCAGGACACCTCCTGTCCTTCCCTTCCCAGCAGGAAGGACTCAGCCACGCCCCTCCCATCCTGGCCACTGCACGATCCCAATAAATTGTGTTTTAAAATCCCACTCTCCCTTCCAGGGCCACGGGAGAACATCTGCAGTGTTTTAGGTTGAGACTCCAGAATTGGTCATTTCTGGAATTGCTCCTTTCTGGAATTGTTTTTTCCTGGAATCAGCCTTTGGTTCCCTTGTGCTGTTCACTCATAGGAATTCCTGGCTCTTCTCCTTCTCCCCACTCCTCTCCCCAAACTCAGTCCAGCCTGACCCAGCTTTAGGATTTGCAGCCTTGGCACCCCACAACACCCAACTTCCCAAGAGTTACGAGCCAAAAACCATTTCAGTTTTCCACTATGAGTGAAACCCCAGCTCTGTGGGGCCGCAGCTCCATCAAATTCCTTAAATCCAGGGACCAATTCCCAGTGCCCGCCCCCAAATTCCCATTCCCAGCACTCCCAGGAATTTTACCAGCGCCAAACACACAAAAACCCCCACAAAACCTCCCTCAATTCCCCGTGGTGTCCGCGCCACCCCACATCCCCATCCCTATTCCCTGTTTTTCCAGGGACGAGCATGATGGTGGAGGACTCGGGGATGAGGCCAGCGCCACACGCGGTGGCCATCGCCACCCACTCCCTGCTGATGGTGGCCCTGATCAGCTCCCTGGAGCTCTGACCGCGGCTCCTCCCGATCCCATGGGAACAACGCAAATCCCACTTCGGGGCAGCACCGCCGGGAGAGGATTGGAGCGCGTGGTTGGAAGGGAGGAAGGAGTTAAAAACAGCTCTTTTTTTTGTTTGTTTGTTTTGTTTTTTGGTTTGGAGGAACAAAAGCTTTCGTACAAGACATGGGTCTTTAACCGATTAAATGTTTTTTAAGGAAAACGAAGAAAATGAAGAATACTCCAGGAATTCTGCAGCCAGCTGCCCCCGCCCTCACTGTATCCATAGGTTTTCTGCCTTATCGAAGCCATGTATGAGATAACCAGACTGCTAAATTTGACTTTTTTTTAAACTCTGTACAGTGAATTCCGTGGGGGGACGGGGACTGAGGAGTTCAGGGACCAGCATGTTCCACACCCATCCCACCACAGCCAGCTCGGAGCATTTGTGGGACGGGATTGATCCTTTCTCCCACAAAAAACAGCCAAACCCTGCAGGAACCAGCCCAAGGAAACAAACCCACGGGAAGGTGGAGCTCTGCCCCAGCCTGAAAAGCTTTTTTTACTACTCTGGTGTTCACTTGCAGCCCCAGCCTGGTGCTTGTCTCAGCTGTGAGGTGCAAATTCCGTGTTTTCCCATATCCCATGTGCTTTTGGGGTGGATTTGTCACCCTGTTTGCCTCTTTGGGAGAAGGGGATCTTTTCCCAGAATCCCCAATTTGGGCAGCTCTGCCAAAAAATGGAGGTGTCAAAAAATCCAGTTTCAGAGGGGCTTAAAGAAGAAATTAAAAAAAAAAAAAGATAAAATTAAAACAGGAATGGGAGACTCCAGGAAGCCACCACTGGGACAACAAGGAAAATTTGTACTCGGATTCATCTTTCTGCACTGAGAATTCACCCAGCCAAAATTCCAGGCTCAGATTGGGACTGCAAAGGCTGAGACCCAGCCAGGAAGCAGCTCTGGATTCCAGCTCCGACGGCTGCCGGACATCCCAAGGAAGCTCTGGGACACTGAGGAGCCCCCTCCATTCCAGAGGCTGGGAAAAGCAGGAATGCTGAGCTGAGCAGCCACAGGACTGGTTGGGAATCGATGTTGCCTGTTGAAATCTCTGTCTCCCAGTAAAGCAGTTGACCAAAGTAAACGAGAATTGGTTGGTGTTGCTGCTGGTTCCATCCCAAGGGGGGTTTTCGGGATTTTCCCCGGCTGTGATTTCTCAATCCCAGAGAAAACCGTGCCAGACTGGGCAATCCCAACCCTGGAATTTTCTGGCTGGGCCCTGGTGTGCAGTTTTCCCTTTAAATGCCAATTCCTTGCCCTTTTTAGCCCAGGTGGTGGCAGGGAAATCCCTCTCCAGACAGGGCAGCTCAGGCTTTGTTAAGCTCTGTTTTGGGCAGTCCCTTCTGCCATTCCATTAATCCAGGGTTGGGAAGGATCTGCACCTGCAAATCCAACATTTGGACCTTGGGAAATGACAAAAATCTACATTTAACACCCAGCCAGAGCCACCAACGGCAGGAAAAGGCTTGGAATCCTCCTTAAAACCTCTCAGAGCTTCCTAAAATACAGCCCAGGGGTTAAAGGTGTGCAGAGCCGGGGAGAGAAGTGGAATTCAGGGGATTTGGAGGGAGGATGGAGAGAGGGAAAGATGGAGAGAGGGAAGGATGAAGAATGGAGAGAGGGAAGGATGAAGAATGTAGAGAGGGAAGGATGAAGGATGGAGAGAGGAAAGGATGAGGGATGGAGAGAGGGAAGGATGAGGGATGGAACAAGGAGGATGAAGAATGGAGAGAGGGAAGGATGAAGAATGGAGAGAGGGAAGGAAGGAGAGAAGGAAGGATGAGGGATGGAGACAAGGAAGGAGCCCTGCCCAGCTCCAGCCTCTGGTGATCCCTAAGGTCCCGGAGTTCAGAGCAGAGACATTTTTTCCTAAATTTCTGTCCTTTATGGTGTGAATTCATGGGCAGTGATTAAGAAAAGATGATTTTGCAGGGGGAGAGGGAAAAAAGAAGGATGGGGATGCTCTTCCGAGAGTTTTTACTTCCCTACTTGCACTGAACTCTCTACTCCCTTTTCCTGCCTTCTCCCTTCCTTCCCCTTTTATGATTAACATCCCCCAATCCTTAATATCCCTTCAAAAATCAAAGAGCACCCCCTGAAAAAAATCCCATTAAAAGCCCTTTGTGACAGCTGGACCCCAGTGGCCATCCCAGCCCTCGGTCTCCAAATAAAAACTCCAATTATGGATTCATTTTCCCTGCTCTGAGCATCTGGCTCCTCTCAGAAATTACAAAACCCCGCAATCCAAAGATGAAGGAGATTTTTGGCTCCCGCTCTGACTTCCCCAGCGGAGCTGGAGCTTTCATCCTGCTGGATTTGGGAATCCCAGCTGGGCCCAAGACACTGAAATTTCCATGACAAAGAGCAGAGAGGCTCCTGCAGATGGGGCAGCTCTGGACCATTAACTCCCAGCCCGCTGTGATGGGTCATTCCCGAATTTTCCGTGTTCAGGAGGTGAAAAAAACCCTCTGGGAATCAGCTCTGGGAAGTGCCTGTTTGGTTTTCATTCAAATAAATAAAATTATTTCCCTCCATACCCATGTTTTTTTGATATCAAAGCATTTTTGTATTGTCATGGTAAAAGGAAAAACTGTGGACGACCCCAAGATTCCCATCCTGAATTCCTAATCCAGGCTCCAAAGTGGCCTAAAATATTAATTTATAAACTGTGTCTTTTGCAAATAAATCCTAAATATCCCATGTAATAGTTATGGGATCCATTGAATGTCCGGAGTTGGAAGGGGAGGATCACCAAAATCCAACTGTGGACGACCCAAAGAATCCCATTATGAATTCCTGAATTCTTAATCCGGGCTCCAAAGCAGCCAAAAAAATTCAATAATAAGCTGTGTCTGTTGCAAATAAATTCTAAATATCCCATGAAATAGTTATGGGATCCATGGGACGTCCTGAGTTGGAAGGGGAGGATCACTAAATCCAACAATGGGCGATCCCAAGACTCCCACCCTGAATTCCTGATCCTAACAAAGAGCCAAAGGCAGGGAATTGCGTCAGTCTTTGTTCATTTCTCGCGCTGCTCTTTTCCTGCAAATCCTGCCCAGGCAGCAGAGCCCGAGGCTGAACAGGATCCCCATGATCACCCCACTCCCAATTCCCAGCACGGCCTCGTAAAACCACTGCTTCTTCCAAAAGCTCTCCCGCTGCTCCGGGGCACCCGTGACGTTTCCCGGTGGTTCCTCCCCGTTGGCCACCAGCTGCTGCTCCCAGGTCAGGGATTTCTCGAAGTCCAGATCCACCAGATCCTTGGGGATCACCCTGAGGCCGAAGTAGATCCTCTTGACGAGCTGGAAGGAGCTCAGCACCTGCACGTCGCAGCGGTACGTCCCGGAATGCGACTCCAGCGCCGGCGAGAAGCTCAGGGAAGGGCTGGGATTGCGGAAAGGGTGGAACAGGAGGTCGTTGGTGGTGATGAGCCCCCGGGCGAACCTCCAGGTGTAGCCGAAATTTGGTCCCTCCAGGCTGGCGGCGTCCGGGGAGAGGCAGACGAGCTTGAAGGGTTTTCCCTCGGGAACGCTGAAGTGCCGGAGGCCGCAGATCCAGTCGGTGAGGCAGCGCGAGCGCACCAGGGAGCAGTTGCGGCGCTGCCCGGCCGGGCTGACCTCGCACAGCTGCTCCTGCTTGACGCCCAGCCCGCAGGTGACGCTGCAGGGCGTGGAGTTCACCGCCACCATGGGCTTCAGCCCCAGCGGGATGGACTCCGCTCCCGGGGGAAGGTCCAAGCCTGGTCCCAGTTCTGAGGGAAGCTCGGGATCTGATTCCGCTTCCGAGGGAAGCTCAGATCCCGGTTCTGAGGGCAGCTCTGATCGCGCTTCTGAGGGAAGCTCCGATCCCGAGGGAAACTCCGATCCTGAGGGAAACTCTGATCCCAAGGGAAGCTCTGATCCCGAGGGAAGCTCTGATCCCGAGGGAAGCTCTGATCCCCATCTCGCTTCCGAGGGAAGCTCCAATCTTGGGTCCAAGGAAAGCCCCGATCCCAATCCCGGTTCCGAGGAAAGTTCTGAGCCCGGTTCCAAGGGAAGCTTCAATCCCGGTCCCAAGGGAAGCTCCGAGCCTGGTTCCAAGGGAAGCTCCGGTCCTGCTCCCGAGGGAAGCTCCAATCCTGGGTCCAAGGAAAGCCCCGATCCCAATCCCGGTTCCGAGGAAAGTTCTGAGCCCGGTTCCAAGGGAAGCTTCAATCCCGGTCCCAAGGGAAGCTCCGAGCCTGGTTCCAAGGGAAGCTCCGGTCCTGCTCCCGAGGGAAGCTCCGAGCCCAATCCCAAGGGAAGCTCCAATCCTGCTCCCGAGGGAAGCTCCATTCCCGATCCCAAGGGAAGCGTTGCTGGAATGCAGAGGGCACACAGCAGGATCACCACGATGGGGCTCTGCTCCATCTTCCAGGCGCTTCTGTGTCTGGGTTCAGCACTCCGAACCCCCCGGAATCATTCCATGAATGTCCCAGGTTCTTCGGGATGTCTCTGACATCCCACCAGATCTAATCCTTCCACCTGGGAAAATCCTCCCGATGTGGAGCTGGAGGCACAACTAAAAAAAGACACAGCAAGGCATTACTGGATCCAGCAGAGCGGGAATTCCAGGAATTCCATCGGGAATGTTCTTTGAACAGGACAGGAGGATATTCTGATCCATTGGATCCAATCCATCTCTGCCCAAATTCCATCAGTTTTGGTTGTGTTTGGCAATTTCAGTGAAATTCTCTCCCCTCTGTAAGACTTCCATCATTATTTTTGATGGGTTTTATTTTGGACGGATTTCCACCGGAAAAGGAGCGGCTCCACTTTCATTTTCCCACCAAACTCCCAATTTCCAGCAGGAATTACTGCTGGAATCTCCCAAACAACGCTGTGGAGTGTGAGGAAATCCCAAAATCCCAGTTCCTCATGGAGGCCCTGTCCAATCCTGACTTACACAAACACATCCCAGTTTGGAGCACACCCCAAATCCAACCCCAACATTCCAACCTCTATTTGGGCTGATCCATGCGAATCCAGGGTGGTCTGAGCCACTTTGGCTCTGGTCAATCTGTGTCCACACCAGGCCCTGGAGCTGTTCCCATGGGAGCAGCTCTGACGTCACAGCCAGGGCACAACAGCCCCAAACATTCCAAGGAAGAACCCTCAGGGAAGGTCCAGCAAATCCTGGGAGCGGAGGGCTCCAGAAGCTCCGGGTGAGGCTCTGGATGAAATTCCCAGCCTTGGAAGGAGCCACAGGAGCTGGGAGAGCTCTCAGAGCCCTCATTCCCGAGGGATCCAACCCCAGCCACCGATGGATCCACAGGAATCGTTCCCCACTGCCATCCCCGGAAAACGCTCAGAGAGTTTCTGGTAGGATCCATGCAGTGCTCAAGCATCCCAAAAAAATAATGCACTGCTGAAGCGTTCTTCCCTGGAAAATCCAGGTTTTTTTGATGGAGGAACCCTCCACAGTTCTATGGAATCATGTTCTCCATAGCTTCTGACCACAGTTTTACGGAAAAGGCATCCCATAATCAGAGTCTCCTGATGGGCATCCCTGGATTCCCACAGGGATTTGGGTTTGTCGAGTTCCTCTGCAAACCCAAATTCAGATGAACTTCTGTTCCTCACACTCCTTAAATCGAACTGAGCAATTCCCAAAGCTCCAGGAGGATTTTCCACCCCCAATCCCCCCTGGAGCTGCCCTCCCCTCCCAGCTCCGAGTGCACTCAGGGATCTGGAATTCCAGACTGCTCTGGGTGGGAAGGGACCTCAAATCCCACCCGTTCCACCATCCCAGATGCTCCAAAGCCCGTCCAGCCTGGCCTGGGAATATCACAGATTCTCTGGGAATTCCATTCCCTGAGCACTCAGGGTTTGGTTTTACTCCAGCTTTACTCCTCTCCCTTCATTAAAACCAACAAAAAATACCCTAAAAACCCCAAACACGGCGTGTTTGAAAGATTCCCGAATTCCAGCACGACAGAAACCCCCAACTTTTCCATGGAAAAGCCAAGATTTACCCGTGGATTTTAGGAAATGGAAGGTACCTCTTTATTTACAAACACAGAACCACCACCGCTGCAGGAGCTGCTCCAATATTGTACAAAACCAGGGAATAAAATAAGGGTGGGAATAAATCAGGAAATAAAATAAGGATGGGAATAACCAGGAAATAAAATAAGGATGGGAATAAAGCAGGAAAGAAAATAAGGATGGGAACAAAGCAGGAAATAAAATAAAATAAAATAAGGAGGGGAATAACCAGGAAATAAAATAAAATAAAGATGGGAATAAGGCAGGAAATAAAATAAAATAAAATAAGGATGGGAATAGCCAGGAAATGAGAACAAAGCAGGCAATAAAAAAAGGGTGGGAATAAAGCAGGAAATAAAATAAAGATGGGAATAACCAGGACAGAAAACAAGGATGGAAATAAAATAAAGATGGGAACAGACCAGGAAATAAAGATGGGAATAAAGCAGGAAATAAAATAAGGATGGAAATAAAATAAAGATGGGAACAGAGCAGGAAATAAGGATGGGAATAATCAGGAAATAACAGAGGGATGGGAATAAACAAAGGCATTTACACTGTACAGAGGGGAAGCTGAGTTTGGGGTGGATTCAATGCTTTCAGCCAACCTGGAGAACCTTGGCCTGGGCATTTTAAATTTGGGGGGTCGGGCCCAGCACCCAGGGTGGGTTTGGCAAGGCAGAGTCACCCCACAAGCAAAAAGAACCAAAAAAAAAGGAATTTTACACTCGTGGTTATAAATTTCCCCAAATGAACCCAAATGTCCGCAAAGCTGGGAATGAAAACATCAAGTTTTGAAAAATTTCAAAACCTCTGATTTCCAAATGTTTTCTCTCTCCTCATTTTGATACCTGCACAGTTCTGGCTGCAAATTTGTCATTTTCCAACTCCCTTCCTGCTTTTAATGCCTGCAGGACAGCCAGGAAATTTAAAAAGCTCCTGATAATCCCAATAATTCCAAAATGAGAGCAATGAAACTCCAAAGTCTGGGGGAAAAAAAGGGATTTAGGAATGAAATTTCCTCTGATCAGGATGTTGGTGTGGGATAAGAGGTGCCAGGCTGTGAGTGCTGGACAGGGGAAGTGCCATTCCCATTCCTACAGGAAATCCTGAAGGAATAAAAGTTGGGAATGAGCTGCCAGCTTCTGTTTTTAACCCAGGAGTGGGAAAAACAGAAACCCTTTGGAGAAGCTCTGCTTCAGTTCCGACAAAAAAATTGGTTTTCATTTATCCAGGAGGAGCCTGGAGATTCCTGGAGGAGAATTTCCCAGGGAAGAGAAGGAACAAAACCACTGGAAAGGACAGGAGGGAATTCCAGCAGAGCTTTGGGGGGAAAAAAAACCATTGGAAAATGACTTTTTTTATCTAAAGCTGCTCCTTCTGCCACGGGCAGAGTGGGAAAAACAAACACAAAACCAAGGCAGATTCCAGAGGGGCCTCAGCTCCTCAAATCCCACTGGAAATTCCTGAAAATCTGGGCTGGGATCGGCAGCTCTGCCCTGGGAAAAGCCGGGCTCAGCGAGATGGGAATTCCCAGCTGGAAAAGGGGGACTTGGCAGGAGACAGTGAGGAATCCCAACTCACACTTTGGGCCGCTCTTCCATCCGGGAATGCCGAGAGATTTTGGGAGATGAAAGACTCTGGAGTGGCAGGGAAGGGGTTCAGGTCACTTTGGGACAGGGATTTGTCCCCAAAAATCCCGGCTGGAGCTCGGTGCCAGCCTGATCCGTGCAGAGGCAGCAGGAGGATGGAGCTGCTCCCTTTTCCAGTCATTCCTGCCCCAAATCACTCCCTGAATCCATGGAATTCAGTCTGTGCCAGTCCTGCCTGGGAATTCCAGCGTTTTCCACACTGGGGAGCCAAGAGAGGAAAGGAGACAGGGAGGGAAGGGAATTCTTCATAGCAACTCTGAGATTGCACCACCTGCTAAAGAGAGCAGAGATGGAAAAATGAGTGTACAGCCCCATCCAGAGGCTCCCGGAAAGCAGAGAGCCCCAGGTGGAGCAGGGGGAGTGGGAAATGCAGGGGGAAATGGGAAATGTGGGGAAAAATGGGAAGTGTGGGGGGAAAAATGGGAAGTGTGGGGGGAAAAATGGGAAATGAGGGGGGAAAAGTGGGGGAAAAATGGGAAATGTGGGGGAAAAATGGGAAATGTGGGGAAAAAATGGGAAATGTGGGGGGGGAAATGGGAAATGGGGGGGGGGAAATGGGAAATGCAGGGGGAAAATGGGAAATGCAGGGGGAAAATGGGAGATGTGGGGAAAAATGGGAAATGTGGGGGGAAAATGGGAAATGTGGAGGGAAAATAGGAGATGTGGGGGGAAAATGGGAAATGCAGGGAAAAAACGGGGAATGTAGGGGTAAAATGGGAAATGCAGGGAAAATGTGAGATGTAGAAAAAATGGGAAATGCAGGAAAGAAATGGGAAATGCAGGGAAAAATGGGAGATGTGGAAAAAAAATGGGAAATGCAGAGGGAAAATGGGAAATGTAGGGGGGAAAATGGGAAATGTAGGGGGGAAAATGGGAAATGCAGGGAAAAAAATGGGAAATGTAGGGGAAAAAATGGGAGAGGGCATTTTGTAGGCATTTTGGAGAGGATTTTGTAGCTAAAAACCGAAATTTCAGCACCCAGAGGCTGCTTGGCCACAGCTCTGGGATTTATCTGAGATTCTGGGAGCACTGCACGGCTTGGAAAGTCTTTATTCCCAAACTTAGCTGGTGTCAAATAATTTGTAATTCCCAAAATTTCTAAGGAAAACCAAGGAAATAAAGCCCCACCTAAGTGTGGGGGAAGCCAGAGCAGAGGATTTTATTCTAAAAGGATGAAGTTGCTCTTGTTTTTAGGCTGAAAGCTGAGTTTAACACACACAAAAAAATCTGATTTTAACATTTTCTGCCAGCAGAAAATTAATGAAGAGAATTAATGGAGAGAATTAATTAATGAAGAGAATGAATGCCAGCCCCAGCCATGCAGCTCCCACGTGGAAATCCCAAAGATTTCCCAGGAAAACTCTCCCTGAGCAGCTGCTTCAGCCTCAGGTTGGTTCCTGCAGGAAGCAGAATTCGTGGAATTCCCACTTCCTGCAGCCAGGGTGGGAAAAGGAGCCTGGATGCAAATTCCATGGGAATTCCAGGGAGTCTGGAATGTGCTGGAACCTTGAGGAAAAGCTGGCAGCCCAAAATGTTGGGAATTTTGGGTACAAGGCACAAAGAGAACAAAGGGAAGAGGGAATTCCACGGAATTCTGGGGGTTTGGGAGGAGCCAAGGGATGGATTCTTTCCTCCCCCAATGCAGAGATTCCAGCACTGGGAATCTGCTGGATCCTCCCAGCTCAGGAATTCCAGGAAAATGTGGATTTTCATGGAATGTCATGGTTTGGG